CAGAAATTAAAACAATGAAGGGCTACATCAGGTTGAAAAAGGTGTGAACATCAAATAGATATYAATGAGACCGTGGAGAGACGGCCATGATCATGCTGTCGATGACACAGTGTGAAGGGAGGGCGGTTTGACAATAGTATTCGAATTTGACAAGCATGTAGCCTGAGACGTGGCGATTCCACCCGTCCACTCCAGGAATCAATGTCTACAGACACGCCAAGAGGGCTTCTTCTGTAGTGATACTGGCAATAGGAAACTTTGAAAATAACCGAGGTGCTCAGCGAAAGGGGAACTACAGAACACTAGGGAGCAATGAGGAAAGAGTCACGTGGTCCTTCAGGGCCCAGGGTGGAGATGGATACAGCCCCAGAGACAAGACTCATCATTCAGGGAACGTTGCAAGACCATAGTTAAGATGTCAGTTATGGAGGATTTGGAGACATTGATCCCCCCAAGCCAACTTTCACTCCTAACTGTACCTATACATGCCACAGGTGCAGGGAAGTCGGAGCAGGATCCATACCGCACSGGAGGCAGAGGAGCCATGTGGGGAGATGGGACTAGGGGACATTGGGACTCTTTTTGCCTTGGTGTTGTTTGGATCTTTTACAACGAGAATGTAGCTCTGTGATTAACAATGCAGTTTGCTAATTAAAATAGAAAAAGATGTAAATGTTAAGGCTCCAACTCCAGAGATGTTTTACTTGGATGGTTTTGGTGGGAATGGGTAGATCTTGACGGCTCCCCAGGTGGTCCTGACACCTGGACCTGAAGAGAGCACAAGAGGGTCCTGGGGTCCACATAGTCAACTCTATAACTCGGCTCCTTCCGTGTTTTGGGGAACACACAATTCTTTATTAAAATCACAGCTAAGAAACATTGTTTTAAATTGTGAGGCACTGGCCTAGACCCTGCTACCGGATGCAGCTGTCCCTGGGTGCCTGAGCAGGACTGGTGACCCTGCGGACACCAAACACCACGATGCTCAGATCTTTTATACAAGACACCACAGTACTTTGTCTGAGATCTATACACATCCTCTGAACATTTCAAATCATCTCCAGGTTACTGAAATGGTTTTTTAAATATGTATATTATTTAGGGAAGAATGACGAGGGAAAGAGGTCTGTACATGTTCAGTACAGACATGATTATTTTCTCCCCAATATTTCCAACCTGTGATTGGTCGACTCCACGGATGTGGAATCCCAGAATCTGGAGACCTGGGTATAGTGTATGGTCCCTGAAATGATGAGTTCCTATGCGCAGCGAACCCTGCGTGTTCCAGGCGTTGGGCCTGCAGAAGAAAAGCATTTATGGTAGTTCCTGGTACAAATGTCACATGTGACAAAGCATCGGTTACTATGACGATGCCGCTGACAGCCCTGTCCAGGGGACCGTGCTGCCCGTCACTCAAACCCTTTGTGCCTTCTGCATGGTGAAACCTGGAGAAACAAGTACCGCAGCCTACAACCCAGAGAGACAGCTGGGGACCAGTCCACCTGGCCAGCAAGCCTCCTGCCCCCACTGATTAACATCTTCATCCTTCCCCTCCCACCCCCCAGTTGGCAAAATGTGGACTCAACGTGGTGCTTATCAGCC